CTTTGAACCCATCCCCCAAAGGGCTACCCTCAAAAAAGACACCCAAATAAGGTCCTTGTTGCAAGAGTTGCCTTCAGGGATTGAGGACGCAAACTAGTTTGCCAACCTTGCGTTTGGAGGGCCAGTTTGATGGTCCTGCCATTTCGCAAGAATATGTTTTGCCCCGAGCAACGCCGAGTAGAATGCCTTTGCCAGTTGTCGAGCGAGTTGAGGGCCCCCGTTTGTCGCCCGTGTTCGCGGCTTGGTTTCCCTTTGAAGTCTATCGCTGGAGGCACTGAAGTTGATGTCATCACTCGACTCCAAACAAGATGCACTCGACAGGGGGCCAAACATGTTTCGTGTTTCGACTTTGGGGCCCAAAGGGTATGGTCACAGAAAACCACCCCCCAGCTTCCGGGGTGCCAAAGGGCAGAACTCGGTTAAGGCTTGCTGCCAAATTCGGCCGTTGACTGACACGATGCTTATCTGATGGACTCAACCGTGGCCCTTACTACAGAAACACAATGAATCCCAGTTTCGGGGTGGAACATGGAGCAAGAGAACGCAGTGCTTCCGGCAACCATTGCAGGTAACCAGGGAATCCATCATGTAAACCCAGGTAGAAATACCCTAGTTGCCTACTGCGGTATCTGGAAGTGGGGGGAATTAGACTCCGTCAGCGAGGCCCAAGTGAACCGCGCTGGCTGGCGCAAGCGGAAGTCTCGGCCTCAGTGACTCAGGGATTCCCTCGAGCCTTTGGGTTTCGAACTACGATTTGGGCATTGAAGGGCATTGTTGAGTATATTGCTAACACAGCATACTTTGCAAGGATTTCTGTGGTCTTGTGTCACAATAGGGGAATGACTTTCTGTTGCTTTCCGGTGTCCTATACGAAGAAACACTCATATGGTCGGATCTGGAAGGACATCGGATGTACAGTATGGTCGGGCGTACTCAAGATTGGATCATATATGTTGCTGTGCACCTGTTCCTGCCTTTAAACACATTCTGTCTAGATGTATTTTGAATGTAATGTATACCTATTCCATGTACCCTGCCACAAGCGAACGTAGAACCTAAGGTTCTTCCTTGAACATGGTGTATTGGCCCTTTAGGCTTCCGTTTCTTTGGGGGGATTTTACATTCCGGGGCAAACAAGTTGGAACTCTGGATGGACACAATCATAGGTGTCCTTTGTTTGTTTTGGTATTAAAATCAATGGCCCTGGTTTACCTGTTGGTTTAATCATCTACCAGGGCCATCTATTTCCCCTAAAAGGACACCTATGGACACAATCCTGATCTGAGTCAGCAAGGGGGCTGGAGCAGGTTGACCTTTTGCCTTCCGGTAGGGCCTTTGATGCCTTGTTCAAGCCATGGACTCTGGGGCTGCATGAAGAAAGACGTCTCTGATTGAGGTACCAGGGGAGTGTAAATTCCACAGACATTGAGGCCCCTTTTTTCTATACATGTTCAATTGTTGATCTTGATAACAGGGTCTCAGGGCTTTCAGTGGGGACAAACATATGCCTCATCCTACCCCCTTCATGCAAATCGCCCAAAGCCAGGTGGTTCTGCTTCCTGGTTTGTTTGGGGTCATAGCAACGCTGATATTGACCTTTGTTTTTCGCCGATTCTTTGGTAAGCCAGTTGTTTTTGAGCATGTGAAGAGTGTTTCCCTTTGTTACCTACGATACAGGGAACCCAGGATTGATAAACTCCCGGTTCATGAATCGTGGAGACAAAACCCTTCACTTACTCGGCCTCCCTCCAAAGAACCTTCTTGAGGCCTCTAAGGAAATCCACTGAGGTTGGTGGATCCCATGGGATTTGGGGATTGTAGCGCCGTGGAATCACCGGTCTAAGCATCCTCAGTTGTTCAGCAGCACCCATTGTTTCCCATTTGTTTGGTTGCTTCCCCACCACACAAGGTTAACCCCAAAAAACATGTCCAGTTGTTCAGTGGCACTAATTATTGTCCCTTTTGTTTAGTGGCTTCCCCACTAAAAATGGTTAACCCGTTAACCCCAAAAAAACTTTCATTTTTGCTACCAGGGTCACTGAACTGGGCGTCTTTCCCGTTTGCTCGCAGCCGGACGTCAGGCTCATTGACGGCCGGGGCGAGAAGCAGCGAGGGGTGGGAAGCCCGGATCGAGTAAGCGCAGAGCGGTGCGTTTGGATTGCTCACTTCACCATGTTTGTAAGGGTTTCTATCAAGGCTTTCTACTAAGACTTTATGTAAAGGGTTTCTACTAGAGGGGGGCCATGACTGTGCGTGCTGCAACTTGCATTGCATCTCCTGCAATGCCTCTGAATCGGCGATGAAGAGTATGTCGCATGAGATGGGCACACATGTGCCTTTGCCGACTGGTTGCTGAAGTTTGGCCTCAGGGACCCTAGCAATGTGTTGCCCTATACTTGAATGTCCGAGCAGCTTCGTAAGTGGTTGCATGCATGGCTATAACTGGGGTAGCAAGGGTGAGTCCCTTATAACCATGGCAATAAACTACTTCCCATGTAGCACAGGCACCGAAGTACAAGCCCTTCCTTGTTCTTCCGCAGATTGAACCAGGGAAACAGGATTCTAGCGCCGAAGCAGCCTTCACGAAGCACAGGCAATGCGCGCTATCCCGCACCTTTCAGTGAGGGGCGCACAGGACTTCGCTACTCATGTGTATGATTGGAAGTCCTACGGCTCTGCAGGGAGAGAGCTCTAGCCACTATCAGCGTTCCTGGACTGCATGCTTTTTCGGGCTGAAACACGCATACACACACAAAACACACATGTGGCTGTGGCTCAAAATTAAACAGGAGGGGTTACGCAGGTTTTGGTCCATGTTTCCACTTACCAGGGTTCCATTTTGGAATTCCTGTTTTTGGAGCCACAGCCATGTGGCTTTCTTTTTTTCGCAATCCACTCAGGCCTGAGTTCATAAAACCGGACCTCCAGTCCAGTGGGATTTTGGTGGAGGGCGTTAAACATGCCGAACCGACCCCCCAAAGGGGGGCAACAGGGGCTGTCATAATCCTAAGCACTGGCAAACATTGATGTTCCCTTGCTAGGCAAAAAGCACAGGGTTTGCCTGGGCTTCTGTGCCCATGTTTAACCTTTTACGTGGGGTTTATCCTGAAGCGTTGTGGTTAGCTGCTGGCTGCATATCGCAAACAATGGGGTGGAGACTGCGGCTGCTCAACGCCTTGCATCCCTCTATCCAGTCCTTGCTTCTTTGCTCAACTGCTGTGTGCCAGGGTCCTACCGGTTCAATGTTGGCGTGACTGTTTTTTGAGAGTGCAGAAATGCGCAGCTGATTGCTCAGCAGATGTTTGAGCTCAACCGCTGGAAATAGCCAGTGATGCTCTTGTGATTGCTTTTGGACTGCTTTTCGGTGGTGGATGATAACAAATAGAGGGAGTCCCTTGAAAGTGCAGGTATACCAATACCGGCATGCCGTGTCAAAGTATGTTGATTTCGAGAAATCAACATGTTAATAAAATGATTCATCCATCCAAACAGCTGTGAAGCAACGTTTGCCCAGAGATGGTTCCAGCTGTCCGGTCCAGAGGTGCCCTTTTCAGTCCTCGTGTTTCCGTTTGGAGTCAAAGGGACTGGACCGCTCCGATCCTTGGGAAGGACCTGCACGGCCCATTTCGCCGGGGGGGGGTCCTCAATCGACTCGCTAGGCGTCACAGGCCATGCTGGCCAGCTCTCACCTCCGCAGAGCCAAGGCGGTGCCGGAGGAATACTCGCGTATCCTCTCAACATATGGTATTCTTATTGTTATTAAATTGCATTGATTCTTATTATTGTTGGTATTATTATTAGTAGTAGTATTATTATTATTGTTATTCTTATTGTTATTGTTGTTATACATATTATACATATACATATCGACTATGCGTGCGACATATTCCAAGATATGAGTTTTGGGTGTACCCTGAACACCAAGCGGGTACAACCACGAAGGGGATCTCTGGGGGTTTGTCTCACTTCTGTGCCTTGAGAATTGGTCACTTAAAAGGCCTTCTATTAGAAAGGAATCGTGCGAGGTTCACTTACACAGGATGGTTCAGATTGGAGTCATTCCATTTCTCATGCCCTGAGAATCAGCAAAAGTCGGAAAAGGGTTGGGCATCTGAGAAGGGCACTGGTCTCAGATTGTTTAGCAGGAATTCTACGATGTGTGTTAAGGATCCTTACTGCCAGGTGGATGGCCATCCCTGTTAGCCCCAAGTAAAGGAGACGGTCTTTTGACCATGACTCAAAGGGAAACGCACAGAACCCCTAGAACGCCCTGAGTTCAGTGGGCTTTGTGCGCAGACTTGACAATCGCATGGCTAGGAAGCGCTCAACCAACCAGATTCTATTGTGGTCTACATTAGCACCCCTAAAAGTCATGTTTCTCCCACCGGTATACATCGTCGTGCTGATACTAACTATAGGAAGTTGAGGTCTCTCTATCCCGTTTCAACCAAGTCAAGGTACTTACGACTCGGCCCAAAGCAGCTTGAGTGGCACTCCGAAAAGTCATGGAAGTGATGTCAGCATGTTCTTGATTCTGGATATGAAACAGGGGGTCAGGCATTGACAACAAAGTGCACAACATCCCATGACCATAGGCCACAGAAGCAATTTTGACCTTGGCTCAAAGGTGTGTGTGTGTGTGTTGTGTGTGTGTGTGCGTGTGTGCTTGTCTGCGTTTTTTTCAGGGGACCCCCCCAAACTTGTGTTTTCCCTTTCGTTTACCATTTAAGCCCAGAAAGAGTTCCCTCAAAAGGAGAGACATCCATATTTCTGCCCACCCAGGGTTTTCGGAGCACCGTTTCTGGCCTTACAAAAAGGCGCATCAGCTTTGCTACACGCATTCACAGCCTTTCTGGGGTCCTTGCAAATCTTTGGGTTGTTTAAACATCACCTCCAGTTCTATTCGGGCTTCCCAAGGAGCACACAGGACTCTGGCAAACTGGGGACTTATTCAATCGGTTCAAGCGTTGGCCGACAGCGGATGCTCAGACTCGCGCGTGAGACTTGCTCAAGTCATGTTCTAGAACCTCCGAGAACGAAGCGAAATTCTCCATAGTGCCCTGGCTGCTTTTTGTCCACGCAGCAACCCGCACCCTTAAAGGGGCCTCTGACACAAACCAGCGGTACAGAGGCCGCAGAATGGCAGGGGGTCCATTGGGGTCCCGGACACTCTCAAAGATAAGCTGAGAAGCTGATGCATGTGGTTGAGACATTGTGTACTGGGGAGTGAGCCGCACAACTTTGTGGATGTTAGTTGAGATGGCACCGGGTTCCAAAAATATTCGGAAGAACCAATCAGAAGAAATGGGTGAAGGGCGGATCGGGAAGTGGTGTTTGGTTTTGAGTACCATTCACTGTTGTCCAGCTTTGTTGGGGCTCCCCCTAATCCAGTACTTCTGCTAGTTCATTCCCAAATTCCCAAGTGCAATTCCCCCTTTGACTGTCTTAAATTGGCGACCAACAGTTGCCCAACATCTCCATTGGCCCTTTGCAACCATGTAGAACCTATCGGTATGGTAGAACCAACTGTCAATGGGTCCAGGGAATGTGAGCTAGGGTCTTGTAGCCAAAGACCAGGTCTCAGTGGTCAGCGCAAGCTGTTTTGCTTTGAACAGCGTAGCATGATCAACACTTGTGTGGGCCATAGGGTTCTTTGTGGGCCTACTTACTCCAAGTCCAACCTGTTAAACTTTGCGGGCCCTGGGAAAATGACCTCAAAGGGGTCAACAAAGTTGCAACTTGCGTCTCCCAGTGTTTTTGTGGGGGTTGCAGAAAACAGTCCTTACAAAAAAATGTGATGACCATCCTTAGCTCGCTTGCCTAATGTTTGGCCTTTCGGTGTTCCTTGGTCTTTGTGCTTGTCAAATCAACCTTTATGGCCAGGTCCGTCGCATTTGGGTCCGTCTAAATATCAGATGGGTGACCTGTCTCCCGGCATGCCATTAGGTGACCACTGAACTTTTAAGGCTTTGTAAGGGGAATCCTTTTTCGGCTGACGGCAAGTGACAGATCGAGATCAGAGTTCAGACGTCCAGCAGAGTTGTTTCCCCCGGATCTTTAGAGGGGACTTGCTGAAAACCCATTCGGGTAAGGTGGGGTAGTGCCCTTGCCGACACGTGGAGGTTTTTGAAGAAGCCCTTTCAATCCTTGATGGGTTTTGGGTAAAGACATGCATAGCCATGATTTTGATTCTCAGGACCTGCAGGTCCCTTGACGGCATAGGGGCCTTTTTTTTGGGGGGGGGTTCCACATATCCGAGGTACGAAGCAATGCGGGCGATCTTCTCCCTGCACCTTGGAATGCAAAGGGGGCCAATTCGTGCAGCGCTTTGGGAAACGGGCACCACCAAACCTCACGGGTGTTTCCTCAGGCAGGTGATGTCCAGATTTGTTCATATTTAGCGTGAGGGAAAGGGTTAGGGGATTGGCAATTGGACTCAGTTCATCGGTTTTTTGGGACCCAGTGACTTGGGGTTACATCACCCAAAGACGTCAATGAAGGCGGGTAACCATCAAGAAGACCCTCCACATTGGTCCCTTGACACAAGGGAAAATTTGGGTGAGCTTAAACTCTCCCCGTCCCAGGGTTGCACTCTTTGCCCATCTACATTGCTTTGATCGGGTCGCTAGGATACATTTGGGCCAGTTGACAGATAGCCTTTACCAGCGTTCTTTGGATGTCAACACAAGAGGCCACCCCCTCAAAAAAAGCAAAACCGAGAAAAGAAACAACCAACCAAAGTTGGGTTGCCTTTCGGTTTCGCTTCAACTTCATGGTAAAATGGTTATACGGTTACCCCCATATATATATATATGTTATATACCACCGCAATTCTGGAGATGAACATTGATTGGGACCCGCTGACCTCGGCGTTTCTCTGAAAATACCTTCCACTGGTGGGTCCAATGATGCTCAGATTACAAGGGCGACAGAACTAGCATGAACTTGGTTTTGAAGTACCCAAAATTCCCATTCCTCTAGGGGTAGCTTCCCCATTCTTTCCAGGGATCCTTCTTTCCAGAAAACAAGCACGAAACACTGTGGGGAAATGGCTGGTTTTTTTGAGAACAACGAAAATGGTTTGAATCAACCCCTTCCAATCACTTAGTCTATTAGGCCCTAGTACCCTGAGAGCCTTGGGACCTCCGGGCCTTTGAGATGGCAAGCCTGCGATGTTGTCCCGGAAGCCCACCAACTTTTTGCAACTCTCCAAAAAGCATTGGCCAAACCCCGACCCCTCAAGTCTCAACTAACGGGCCCCGGCTGAGTCACCATTTTGGCTTGCCTCAAAATAGAGGAACCCCAAAATGGGTGGTTTCGTTTGGTTTCCCTTTAAAACACCCCAACGAAGGATCCCTCAAAAGGCACCCTGTGTGTGTGTGTGGTTTTGAGGATACCCTTGGTTAGGGATCACAGACCCATTTCGCAGCCTCTCCATAGGGTTGGATGTTGTGGTCGAAGCGGCAATCGTTCATTTAGAACGCTTCCCTTTCGATTGATGGCAAAATAACGAGCAAACGAGCAAGAGTCAAGAGTTTCCGTGCACCAGCCACTTGTATGGCTATGATGTGTTGATGGGGAACCTCAAAAGTGGTCTATGTTATGTCCACCAAAGGGGCCCTAATTCAAATTTAGGCCCACATAGAATGAACTGTCAAGTGAAAGTAATATTTTGGGATTGGAATATTTGTCCGAGGGAAGGGGGCAAGGAGAAATGCACATGTGCACAACAACGAGTACGCTTGCCGAGTGTTTGCCTTGCGCATGAACGTTCCATTCCTTTGGGGAACATGATAATACTCCTTCAACCCCAAGCATTCAAACTTTGCTTTCCCTAGGTCTTGGAGGTGACTGTCAGAAGTTGGCGAGTCATAAGAGCGTGCCTGCGTAAGCAAAGCCCACTGTTGTCTTAACAACAGGACTGCCCGGCGGGTGCTCCAGGTTAGTAAGTTGTTGGTAACCTATGACTCTGTTACCAGTGAGTTCTACACTGACAGGCCACGTGTTCTGTTTGCATTTCTTGGCCGTATGTGAAACCATACATCAGGTTTCCGGCCATCACTCCATCAGGAACGGAGCCTCAATCTTTTCACCCGCCCTGCTTGGCAGGCCCCTCCCTCCGAGGGTGGTCAGTTTCATTGGTTAATCGACCGGTGCGGGTTCAATCAACGGGTTCTGATCGCTTGCACAAGACAAGCATGTGTGTAACATTCGAATGGAACCCCTTTGGTTCGAACCCATTTGCTTGAACCAACTTCGGGTCTCCCAAATTGAACCCGACAGATCCAAGGGGAAAGGTTCGACCTTTTTTTTGGAACGGAAGAGGCTCCTGAATTCGCAATGGACCCTTTATAGTTTGCCTTTGTACTCCAAAATGATGTGTTCTCGTCTAGGTCAATGTCTGGGCCATCTTACATCCTATATCTTTGCCCTTGGCTGAAATAATGATGGTAAGAATATATCAAGATAAAGGGACACTTCCATTTACAAGGGAATGTTCAAGTGTATAATGTAAGGATCCCTGTGATTTCCTCAGGTTTGTGTGCGTTCCGGGATAGAGCAGGCACAGCGCAAAACGCCAACAAATCGTTTCTCAGAGCCTCAGGCTGCTGGCCCTGCCGCTGGTCCATGGAAGTTCCGAGAGCGTCTTGCCGAAGAATTGCCGAGGGGCTGGTGAAACTTAGGGACTCCTTGGAGAGTACGAGATCTCTCCTCATGGTCTCCAAAGCATTTTGTTTAGATGTTTTTAGGGCAGCCTACATATGGGGCTTGATTTTTTTGGAGCCGTTCGGCTCCCAAAATGACCATGGGCAACTTTTCCCGTTGAGCGGGGAAGTGTTGGGTGGTTTGCCTCATGGCCCCATGTGAAGGACTTTGATCAAGCCCCAGACTTGCCACCGAATCAGAACATGATGACTTCGATGCAGATGTGGGCCGAGTCAAAAAGGCGGCACCTCAGGTCCTGGGCTGGGATTCGGGCACCAGGAAGCCAGTCTTGGTTCGAGCCTCTCAGAAGATTGGAAATGGGTGTGGTTTGTTCATGTTGCTAAGGGGTGCGGGTACGCTTTTTGTGGGGTTTTAAAGGGAAATCAAAGGGAAATGAAAGCCTAAGACGTGGTGTTGTTCTTTTGGCGAGGATACCCCTTTCAGGCTGGTTTTAAAGGCTTTGCCTTAATACAAGCAATATGCCAAAAACTGGGGCCATGACCCCACTCTTTTGGGTAGTGACTCCGTTTTTGTTAAGGGCATGGAGACTCTGGACTCCAATTTGTTCAGAACCTCCCACCCGCGCGACACAATCCTTGAAGATGTAATTTGAAGGGACCCCGCAGGGTCAAGTGCAATTCAAGAAAGCCTCAAAATGCAACCACTTTCAGGGAAAGGTCAAAAACAAAACACTAGCGAATGCGAACAGGCAACATTCGGTCGTTGAAGAGCTCTAGGGGTCGATTCTCCATTGTGTTCAACAATTTCCACAAACCCGCCCTTTCCGCTGGGATAGGGGCTTGCCCTGAAAAGAATGGGGAGGTGCCCGTGCAACGCATGTTTAAATTTTACAACAATCTCAAGACCTGAATTTGAGGGATCAAAGGAAGGGACCATTCATGGTGAGCTCGCTTTATAGCCAAAATTGGAATCCCATCTTGGCCCACGAAAGGGTGTACCAAAAAATATATTCAGATTGTGTTTCATGTATAGCCAACGCGAAACCCGGCGTTCGCCGCGGAGTGAGTGAGTTCTGAGGTTTCCCCCGGCACCTGCGCGCAGTGGACGCCTCCGTCTTTGAAGCCGAGCTCCAGCCTGGTGCCTGGCGTTTCCCTTCGGGGCCCCTCGATTTGTTTGATAGTAGAATTTGGGTAGACTGACTATCTGACATTCGAACACTCTGCCCTAAATGTGGGGCCAAACCCTTTTCTCACCTGGACTTTAGACTTACACAGGTGGTGGACTTGCTGCTGTTTTGCTTTATTTGGGATTGAGCCATTTTAGCGACAAAGAGAAAGGACGCGCAGCCTGAGGGGTGTTGTAGCTTGAGCTGGGTACCCAATTAGCTGGCACACCAACCAGGGCCATCAAAGAACATCCTTTTGAAGGCTGCAGTAGTTGTCAGCCTTCGGGCCCATCTTGTTTAAACCACCAGGAACATCAGGATTGGCAGCCTTCAGGGCATCCCTTCAAAGATGTTTTTGCCTAGGTTGTTTTCCAGCAACCCAAAAGATGGCCCACAAAAGATGGAGACAGACAGATTCACATCCCCGAGCCTGGGTTTGGCAAGAGAAGCAAACAAGATGATCGTCCGAACAAAAACAAGCAAAGTAAGCAAACATCGAGTCATACACGCATCCATATCTTTGAACCAAAGGAGACGCACCTCTGAGGTGCTCGGACCCCAAAGACTGATTTTACTTTTCGTTGGTTTCCGTAAGCATTTGACCCTCCATTGAAGCTCTCCATTGGAAGGCTGTGGATCTCAAAGAAGACCATTTTACTGGCAAGCAGTGTGTTCGGACGTTTTCGGGGGCCAATCTACTCGATCGGAAGTGAGAATATGTGGTCTTGGTCCCTAAGTCGTCCCTTGCCGGTGCCCAACTCCAAGCACTTTGACCTCCTTTGCCCTTTTCCAAGACCCCCAAAGAACCCCCCCTGACCCCCAGGTTCTTGGGCCCAAAGACCTCAAGCATCGTCTTGCCCTTCAGACCCTTGGCCCCACGGCTCCGATCTCGACCTCCGATTTCAGGTCCGCCATGGGGGAGGCGTTGGGCTGCGGGGGCCTCATCTCCGAGCAGCACCTTCTGGACCTCGAGGATCGGACGAAGCCCCGGTTGGCGCAGAGCACTTTTTTTGGTACCTGGACTCTATCCCAAGAGGGGGCCGCAATGTTGGGTGTGTATTTGTGTTGTGTTTTTGGGAAGGTGGTAAAAGGGAAACCAACGGTAAAGCACACATGTTGCCCGGGGCTCTTCATTCCTAGATTCAGCTTGCCTTTTATCTTTGCTTTCTCGTTGTTCCTTCATTGTCACGTTTGGATGTTGTACCCCAAGCATCATTGGCTTCTAGATTGAAATCGGTTTGGACCTCAAAAAGGTGTTTTCGAGGTGCCACGATCTTTATCCCAGACCACCCTTGTGTTCTTCTTCGGCCGACGGCCGATATTTGGCTGCTTCGACTTGCCTGGACCCGCAAAGGACCCCGTCCCTTTTTCAGCCTTTCACCCACGACCTATATGATGGTCACAAGGGCAGTAAAGAAATGGCTCGATCGCTGCTTCCTTGCCAGGAGGAGTTACGCGTTGTTTACGCCACGCTGCCCAAGAACGGCGGCTCTCCTTTGAAGAGCGGTTGGCGGAAAGGCCGCTGTGGGGCCCCTCCCTTCTTACCAGTTTGAGTCCAGTTGCCTGGATCAGTTTTCGTGGATCCATAGGGGGAGTGCTCCCCTCAAAATGAAGGGTTCCCTTTGAAATGAAGGATCCCCTTTCAAATAGAGGCGCCGTGCGATCAGCCAGACGTGTACAAATCCCGGGCTCCCAGTCTCATGACCCAAAGGTTGCTTTGTGTGTGTGTGTGTGCGCATGCGGTTTTTTGGCCCCACGCCTTGGTTGGCAAAGTGCCGCGATGCTTGGGGCCACGTATTTGGGTGCTTTTGAGTCCATTAAGTACCCCATGGAGTTTTAATTTTCCCGACCCCCTATTCAGGACCCAGGCATACTCACCTTTGCTGGCGCGCCTATTTTGGGCTGGGCGAGGCTTGACTGGAGCTGAGCACTCCTTCGCAGCATGCGAACGAGCAGAACATTCAATCCTGAAATATACTTCAGACCAAATAAGCTATTGGTTTTCCTGTGTGTTGTTTGTGTCTGAGCCAGCTTGGAAAGCAATTGTACAACCATCCTGGACCTTGAAAGGGCCGGCCCGCTTTGGCCTGCCGCACAAAAGAACCAGTACTCTCAGGAGGAAGAAAGGAACTGGGCCATTGCGACGAGGAGTGTGCGGCAGAGTTCATTTTCTTGTAGAAATCAGGGGAACCTAGAAGAAGCGAAAGGGACAACGGCGAAGGGTTATTTGATGTAGAGGCAAGCAGCCTATCCACAGCGCAACAGGGTTGTCCAGAGGAGGCTCCAGAGAATCGTGCCTAGTTTCACCCGAAGGCACGACCTGAAGAGTCGTGACTGGGACGGGTCCTCAAAAATTGTGTTTTGTTTCAGACCTTTTGGATGCCCTGGATGTCCATTGGGGTCATGACACACGTCGATCACGGGGTCCAGCTTTGGGTCCTTTACCTGCGTCTCCTTCCAACATATTCACCTTTTAGAGTTGACTCACGAAGGTCAAATTTGAAACCAAATCCGAAAACTGCTGGCCGAGTCGCCGACTTTCTGAGGTGTGGGCCGCATTGACCGCCGCTCTCTGCGGTTCCTGGCTTACCGGTACTTCAACCAGAAGTTGCTTGACATGTGAGCGCCATGTGTTGTTTCCTTGAGGCAGAATCCAAAATTGGACGGA